AATCCGTACATACATCACCTGACCATCTTCAAATGTGAATATAATAACTCTTAAACGCACATCCAAGTAATCCCAAATGTTTTTTTGATTACCTTTCTGGTAGCCACAAATCTGTATTTCACATTTTCAATGGCATCGCAAAGTTTACCATAATTTTCCGTTCCCAAAATTTTGTAGCATACTTTCCCGGGGAAAATGCTCAGTGGGCTTTCCTTTGCGGGCCGCTTTGTGGGTGTGTCGTAAAACAAATATCGATAAAAAGCAACAGACAGAGCGATACAAATACGAAATTGTGATTTGCATAATGTGGCCCACACACGCACACAATCGCAGGAGCCGACCCACGTAATATACAATATAATTTACATTAAATTGCTGATCAATATAAATGTATCTATCTGGGCATTAGCTTAATTTGTAGCTGTATTTGTTACTGTGCGCGTGTGTCAGTGTGTGTGTGTTTAGGATTAAATCGTTTACCTACTACCAACACACACACACACTCACAACCACACCCACACCCATATGAAAACACGCATTGAATTTTTCCGCTGACCGCGAGTGAGAAATATTTTTGCATAATTTCTCTTACTGATTTGCTGGGGTTTTTCTGGTTTTTACGCTTTGTGCGCCATAAATTATGCTGAAAAACTGCCAAAGCCAAAGAGGAAAAACGAGAAATAAAAAAAATAGAAATAGAGATGCATGTGTACGCATATGTTTAGCCAGAAACCAAAGCATAAAGTAATTTGGTTTATGAATTTGACTGCCCCCCTCGGATACCGCGCACACATTTCTCGGTTGAGGCGTCAAATTCTGTTTGCCGATCAAAACAAAATTATCATTTGGCCAGAAATTCGTTTTCGCCGGCCCCCCGCGTATTTGCATTTCGGCTAGTGATTAATGTTTGATGTGCAGTAATTAAATAGACAGAGAGCAGCATGTTGCATGCAAATTTTTTGGCCAGAGTCCTTTGTTCGCCTGCCATTCTCCGTGGCTCCTCTCCATTCCGCTCTACTCGGTTTATGTTTATGTTTATGCAATTTCAATTTCAGTTTCGGGCGCGCAATAAAAGCGATTTGTTTTAATTACTTACGCACATGGCATTTAATTATTTTTATTGATTAAATAAAACAATTAAGCTTATGTAAATTAATGTAGTCGAGTCAACTTCGTCAGTGTGATGGCTGGCCCCCCGCCTGTTCCTCTGCTCGTCCTTTTTGGATCGTTGGGGCGTTGGGCGTCGAAAGGGGGCGTGGCATGCGGCTGTGGGCATAGCGGAGTCAAGTTAATGGAATAGCTGAGCAGGGCAGGCAAGTAAAATAATTTAAGGCCAAGCATACAAAATTAATGAGGCCATTAAATCCTGGAGACGCTAAAGAGACACACACACTCACACACACGTAAGCAGGAGTCATGTGTGCGGCAGAGTGTGTGTGCTTGACAGCCAAAGGACAACTCTTTGTTCAGTCTCTGTTTATGACTTTCGGCCTCCGCCTGTGTGTGTGTGTGTGTGTGTCTGTGTCTGTGTGTGGTGTGCGTGTGTGTCGCCTGTTTGGCGTGTGTGTGTGCCATTTATACACTATGCAAAGCTGAATTTGATAGCAGGGTACGTCTCCTTTTTTTCGTGCAACATTTGCAATCACGTGACATCGCCGGAAAAGACTACGTTTTAGATAGCACAAAGTTTAAGTGGCCTTTTTATTATACTGGAATTTAGAAAAGTAATTAGTTCAAAACTATTTTTAGAAATGCTGCAAGGGCAGCACTAATTATATTTTCATAGGATAAGAAAAGTTGTAAGGCTATTTAGAGCTCCTGAAAAATAAAAATCAAAATATTTTAGGAAGGAGGTTAACTATTTACTCACCTGTTTGATCTTAAAGTTAAGAATTGTTTTTTGCTTTAATGTAAATTCATTCTCATTGCTCTTTGGCCACCTAACACTTAGAGTATTCCTTAGTTGTTTTTGCAGACTACCAAAGATTTCCCTCTCGCATGCTCCTTATTTAACTTGCGGCAGGTTTTGGTCCTTCAGCTCAGCGAGGACAACAGAACGGTACAAAAATATCGCTCAGCATTATGTCCGTGCACCTCAAGCAGCTGCCTCTTTGTAGCTGCTGCTCACATCCATCAGCGGTTGCCGATTGTCCGCTCCGCAGTTTCCCGCTTTTCCCGTTTTTCCCCAGAACCTCTGAATTCGGACCCAGGTTGGCTGGGCTTAAGGCGGCTTGGCTTAGCCTGGCCCGAAGCCCCTCGATTGAATGATGTGCTCTGGGCTCCCCAAAAATAAACTGCCGTTTTCAACAATATTTACGGCTCGTTGTCTGTTAGCTTAGGCATACGAATATATGAGTGAGAGCGAGTGTTTTGTATTTGCTGCGTGTGTGCGGTTTACCTTTCTTCTTTCGCCGCCGCTTTTTTTCGCTTTTTTCGTTTAGAATTTCGCAAGGCTGGCAGTGGGGAGTGAAATAATATTACGCTACACTGAAAAACACTTTTTGTAAGTAAGGAAAAAATATTACAAATATTGATTTAATATTAAATAGCTGACATGCAACTTCAAGAATTTTGATTTAATTTGATTAAAACAAAAATCGTTTTAGCACAAGGAAATTTAAATACAGTTTATACTTGATAGAATTTATATCCGTTTTAAAATGAAAGTAAGAAATATTAAATTAAATGTTTAAAATTGCATCTACTTTTCTACTACAAAAAACCAAACCAATTTACGCCATTAATAACTTTATAAATATAATTACTGTTATTGATATTTAAAGAAAAGGTTGTATTAAATTATAGATAAGATAAATTCCGAAAAAAATAACGGAAAGTTGAGTAAATTGGTTGGGCAAAGAAATTTGTTTAACAGGTTATATATTTTAATTGATTCATTAACGACGGTTAATTAATTCATTAACGACGTATACTTAATGTGCCGACGTATACGTAATTTTTTGTCTAGGCTGGTTTTATATACATTCAATCATGATTATCATATCAAACTAAATTCCAAGTGTGGAATATGGAGTTTTAGTTTTTCCGAGTGTCGGCATATGTTGGGCAAAGTCGTTAAACAGAGAGCGCCCGAAAACGCAGAAATGTATGCAACATAAAAGTGCGACGAGCACCTGACGATGCCACAATGGCGTGGGCTTCATTAGAGATCACCTGGTGGCAGGAGATTTTGGGGGTGGAGGGAAGGGGAGGGGATTGGACGGGAATTAGAGGGGAAGATGGTGCGGGCCACGTTTTGCATTTTTGGTTATTTGCACAGGCGGCACAGCGGCACGTATACGTAATAAAGTTGAACAAATAAAATACACTTTCCTTCGGCGCAGAAAAGTTCTAATTTTTTCGCCAACCTCCGCTGCTCTCTTTTTCCCCTCAACCGCCTTCCCGTGTTTTGTTTGGCTTTTGTTGGGCTTCGGTTGCAACCTAAATTTCATTTGAGGCGCAAAACTTGTTTAGTTGGCAAACTTTGCGCGTCGTCAATAAGGCTTGGTGGCCATATCCGCAGATGAGGGGTAAGAAGTGGCGGGGTGGAGGGGATTTGGGAGGGTCTGGAGGGGATTTGGGTGGAGGGGATGGGACGGTTAAGCCCAGACAGTTTGGCATGGTCGCACGCCATGATATAATCTGGTGCTGGGGCGCCGTTTATATTACGCGCTGCCTAACAACTCCCCATCCACCCAACCATCCAACCACCCAACCACCCGCCTTCCCGTTCCACCCCCTCATTGGATCCACCTCATCTACAAACAGACATTTACGAATCCGGGGGAGGCGGGAGCCACTATCCGTGGGTCGCGGGGTGCATATTGATGGCGCAGAGGTTGCCTAGATTTCCCCGAAAGGCATCTCCAATTTGCCATGAAAAATGTCTGACCGAATGTGGCTATTTTCTACAAGTTCAAGGATCTGAGATTGCTGCTTATAAACATTTGAACACAAATGGAGAACGCAAAAAGGCTTACATCATGATTAAATGTTATTTGCATATCAAATAAAAAAAACGTATACATACATAAGATACTTATTGTGATTTTTTTCGGTTGATGAGTATATAATTTAAATATTCTTTCACACAAAAGTTCGATTTCCATAGAGGAACAATATTAAATAGCATTTTAATGAACACCCTAAAAATTTTATTTAGAAAATCTAGTCTTTGAAGTTTTAAAGGTGAGTTAAATTTGTACATCTCAAAAAGATTTGGCTATTTAATTGAGTTTTTAAATTAAGGAAAAAAGTGTTTGTCTATTTAAATATATTATAGAATGCCATGGGGTGTACCGCAGCATAAAGAAAGAGAAAATGTAAATAAACATTGTGGTTATTTAGATATTTAAGTAAAAGCCATTTAAATTGTACTTCTGAAAAACTTGAATATATTTAAAGAAAACCTTTTAACTTTTGCTGCTTCATCGATTTACACCTTTAATAACTTTTGCACCTTGCTCGTTGTTTCTGTGAGTGCATTAGCCAGTTGACCTGAGCTTTTCAATAACGGCATTATGGTTTCTCGGTTTAGGTGTAATCTCCTTAGGGTATGCCATATTCCTCGCTCACGGACATCATTTTGGCCTCCGCCGATTAGCCATATCGATTCGAGCCACACTTTCAGCTTGTCTGTGCGTGTGTGAGCCAATGTGTGCGGAGGTTGGGGTTTGTTTGGGGTTGGGGTTGGGGTTGGGGATGGGGTTTCTAGTTTTGGTTGGGGTTGAGGTTGAAATGCATAATTGGCGATTAGACGATTGGCCCTAATATGCCAAAGTGCTGCAGCGAATAACAAGGGAAGCGCAGCAGAGGCAGCTTTGGCTTTAGCCCCAGCTTCGGACAGCATTCGGATGGCCAACTAATTGGGTCATGTCATCCCCAGGTGCCCCCGCTGATCCCCCTCGTTCCATAAAAAACAGGAAAAAAAGAATTCCTCGCCCATGAAGTACCTACCTTTGGCTGAAATCTTCGGTGGGTAAAAAAAGTAATGACAATGGTTTATGTTTTTCGTTTATATATAGATATATATAATGTTATATATATTTCCTTTTGCTTTGTTGTTCATTCAGTTGCTTTCATGCATTCAATGCCCGCCTTTTGTCTGCGGGCCAACTACTCCCCTCTCCTTTTCCCCACCCACTCGACTCTCTCTCTCTCTCTCTCGCTATCCCTCCCTTTCCCTCGCTTGTTAGCTATGCCGCTCTGTTGATAAGTGTACACATCTATAGACTATATACTATACGTAGGTTTATATTATACAATACATAATACATAAGTTCAACTTAAATGCTATGGTTTTTTCTTGCTCTTTTTGTTTTTTCTCCTTCAAGATTACTTTCAGTTGTGTCAGTTTATGTGTGTGTGTGTTGTATCTGTGTTGGTGTTAGTGTGTGTGTCTGTGTGCCTACTGTTTGTTGGGAGTCCTTTGAAGACTCCTGCGCTCATTTAGATGCAAAGAAAAAAGTCTTTGGTTTACCTTAAAAATATTATTTTGTTTGTTGTTTTTATGATGGTTTTTGTTTTTGTTTTTGTTTTTGTTCTTGTTTTTCTTTTTTGTGTTGTCTGCTTAAATTCTAAGTCTTAGCACATACGGGCAATTAATATCTTGTGGATACGCTTTAAATCGTTACAAGGACAAACTGACATACATCTACATGTACACGTGTATGGCTATGTGTGTGCGTGTGTGGCTGTGTTTGCCTGTGATGTGTGTTTTTTTCGGGTTTTCTGTGAGTTTGTGTGTGTGTGTGCGCACTTTGAGTACAATTTACATATGTTTATTTACGTATGCATTCGAGGAATATTTTCCCCCTGTCTTTACTTTGAATTTCCTCCGATTGGTTTTTTCTGTTTGCCTTTTATTTTGTTTAATTTCTTTTCTCCTTTTTGGCCTGCCATCTTCTAAATTTATTGGGAAATTTACAAACACTTGGTATTGTTTTTTGAATTTTATTTCGGTTCTGGGTTAGCAGTAAATCAATCTTTATCCAAGAATTTTTGGGTAAACCGTTTTAATTTGATTACTGAAACATTTATCCATCGTCAAATGGGGTCAGCATTCGTTTTGCAAAAAATTACTTTAATCTTGTTTAAATCAAGTTGTCTTTGTTGGGAAAGAATAGCAATTTAAAGTTTAAAAGGTGAAAATCTGTTTATCTGTCAGTTATTCAATAGACTGGTTTTAAAAATGCATATACAAAAATGTTCTTCATTAAATCTTATTAAAAAGTTTGAGCAGAGAAAGATTTTATGTTTAACAAATTTAATTGGCTTAGGCAGAAAAAGTTTTATGTTAAACAAAATGTAATTGCATTTTTCATAGTATGAATTAAGAAAAATACAGTTTGCTTTAAGTTTCGATTTATTTAAATTTAAAAAATTGTGAACAAATTTTGGGGATATAGATTTACTGCTACCTTTTGGTCAGACTTATAGCCTGCTTTAGTTTTATATTATTTCACAGCTTCTAACGGAACATAGAAGAATTTCAACGATAGTCGGATTGAGAATTGGTTTCTTTGTCTATGGATTATCTAATATATACAATGATTTATATTACTTCTTCGGCAGCTTTACCTACATAAGTATGCATCCTCTATATGTGAATGTATATTTTACAAATGTTGAGCCACAATTTGGTTTTCGTTCTCTGATTTATGATTATAACTCTTGGAGGAAGGTTTTATTGGTTTTGGGTTCCTTTTCCTTTTTACGTCTTTCTTACCGAATAACGAAGAAATTACACACACACATGCACACACATAGTCACATACATATATATCGTATATATATATATATAATATTTATAGATTTAGTTACATTCACATGGTGGCTTTTCCATATATTTTTGGGTTATTTTTTACGTTATGCGGGGAGTTGAGTGTTTGCCATGGTATTTTTAAGAAAGTTTTGCTGTACATATCCTAGCTTTAGTTTATTTACGTTTACATTTAGTTTAAATTAGTTTAGTTCAGATTTAGTTTTAGTTGAGTTGAGTTACTTGCCAAGGAGAGAGAGTATACTTTAGTGTAGTGCAGTTGATTTCGTTTTAGCTTTCTCTTTGCTTTGGGCAATTATTATCATCATTCGCATTATCTTTTTGTCAGACACTATCACAAACAGTTCGCTTGCACAATAATCGCTGCTCGCTGCTAGGACCTCGGAGCTAACTACGAGTGTTAAACCTAAAAAAGAGCTACCTCCTCCAACTATTTTCCCTCCTTCTCGTTTTCCTCCGCCTAATTTTCCCGTGTTAAGTTTAGTCAGTTCTGGGTTTTGGTTTTTTGCGCCCCACTCCGGCGAGGCTTACACATCCGTGCCGCATCCTTCCTGGTATCCTTCGTCCGGCGAGTTGCGACTGCTGCTGATGAGTGCTCTTTTCAAAGCGGTGACGGGCGGCAGGACGGGCACTCCGCCCTTCTGCCACACGCGTATCGTCTTGGCGTTGATTGGCTGCCCGTTGGGCAGGATGGAGCAGGAACTGGAGGTGCTGGGATTCGCCGACTGGCCGTGATTAACCACCGCGGCGGGAGTGGGTGAGGAGCGGGAGCTTCCACCTCCCCCACCACCCCCTCCACTTCCCTCGTGGAGACGCGGCAGAGTGCGACTGCTGAAGTGCGGACTGCTCCCGGTTGAGCTGCCCTCCTGCTTCTGGTGGTTCAGCGTGGAGGTGAGCTGCTGCTGCAGCTGCTGCAGCGGATGCATCTGCAGCTGGTGGTTGTGCTGGTGCTCCGCCCCGGGCACCAAGGGCAGTCCATAGTCGTTGGGGTAGCCGCCCGAGGAGGATCCCCCCGAGAGATTCGTGGTCACCGTGGAGGCAGTGGAGGTTCCTCCCCCGCCCCCCGCGGTGATTCCCTGCTGCTGGAGATGCGATCGCGGGAACGTCTTGCTGAAGTAATCCGTGGCCGCAGTTCGCTCATGAAGATCATACAACTGGGAGGAATCGATGATGGGCGTCTTGTCGGTGTACCGCTTCATGAAGAGGTCGTCCGCCGAGGTGGTGCCACCTGGGGCACCGTGCTCCCACAGTCCCGAGGGATACAGCGAGTCACAGCCGTTGGCGCGACTGTACTCCCCACTGCCGCCCACTCCGCCAATTGGTGGGATCTTCAGATCGGCGAACTCATCGCTGCCAAAACGCTTCGTGTCGTTGATGAGGTCCGGGTTGTTTCCTCCATTCCCGGTGGATCCTGTGGGCGAGATGAAGCAGGAGGCGGTGGACAGGACACTTCCGTTGTTGTCGTATCCCTGAGTAGAGTACGGGAGGTCCGTCAGTCTCGGTGGTTTCTGCACGGGATTCGCACTGCGTTGATCATGACCCGAGTGGGATACTCCTCGTCCGCTGCTCTTCCTCTCCAAAGTGCCTCCCTGGACCACTCCACCATCGATGATATTCGCCACAGCTCCATTGGCAATGACCACGCCCCCTATGCTGCCGTTTCCTGTGGGCGGTTGCGTCTTGTTTGTGATGGAGTTCTGGTGGTTCACCGACGTAATCACCTCCATGTGATTTGGGGTCTTGCTGTCCACATAAGGCTGCCGTTTGACCCTCAGCAGGAGGCACATGACCACTCCTAGAGCGAAGACAATCAGAGCCACTAGGGCGGCACTCAGACCCACAATTTGGCCGCTGCCCAGGGAGGCCATTCCCGCGGCTCTCATGCTCACGTGGAGCGTGAAGTTCGCCTCGGCCATTCCCGCTCGATTCTCGGCCACGCAGTAGAACTCACTGGAGTCCGTCTCCTGGGCATTGGTCAGCACCAGCTTGGACCTCTTCTCGAAGCCCCCTTCCACCTGCTCGAACATGTGTATCCTCTGGTAGGCAGTGAAGGCGGAATTGTTGGCCAGGAGTCGCCCGTTCCAATACCAATTTATATTGGCAGCTGGAACCGCTCGGGCGCGGCAAGTGATCGAGGCATTCTCACCCATGGCGGTCTCCACATAGTGGGAAATGGGCAGCATCTCGGGTCGACAGGCGAACTCATCCACATGCAGATCCGAGAAGGATCGATCGATGATCCTTTCAGGACCTCCCGAACAAACAGGAGCCACGGGAAGTGGGATGTTTCTCTGCATCAGCAGGAGTTTTGTATCTCTCAATCGACAATCGCAGAGCCAAGGATTGTCATGCAGCTCGATGCCGTGAAGTCTACTCAAAGTCTCGATGGTTTTAGGCAGGAGTTCACTCAGCTTATTGCCGTTCAATCTCAGCAAAGTCAGTCCTTGGAGGCCATCAAAAGCCTGAGCGGAAACGGTCTGAATATCGCAGTGCGAGAGATCCAATTTGTGCAACGCGGGCGTGTTTCCAAAGGCCTGGCTTTCGATTTTGTGGATGTGATTGGAGGCCAGGGTGAGTTCCCTCAGGGAGGAAATGTAGCCCAATGCCAGACTGGGAACCGTCACCAGAAGATTGTGGGAGAGATCCAGCTCCACCAGGTTGGTGAGTCCCTTGAAGGTCTCCCTCTCGATCTCGCCAATCTTGCAGTTCCTCAGATACAACTTCTGCAGATTGAGCAGATTGGCACGGACGAACTGCTCGTTGGAGAGCGTTTGCAGCTTGTTCCCGGACATGTCCAGCACCTGGGTGTTGGGATCGATGTGCTCCGGTATCTGGATGAGGTGTCGATCGATGCACTCCACCGTCTGCTTGCCGCCCTTCCACTTGCAGGCGCAGACCGTTTGGCAGGTGCTCTGCTGCTGGGCAGGAGGATCCAAGTCGGAGTGGGCGGGCGGAAAGTGCTGGTTGGGTGGCATGTAGCCATCCTCCGTCATCGGCTGGCTGTCCGCTATGGAGTACACCTCGTTCTGGGCGGAGGGAGACGACCTGTAGCTGCCGGGGTTCGAGGACGAGGAGCTGCCTGCCCCGCCATTCGCATACAGATGCAGCTGATTGTAGCGACTGCCGAGGATAATTCCAGGAAGCAGGCTGATCACCAGGAAAGCCAATCCCCTGATATGCATTTTCCTGGATTTTTCTTCAAGTCTTCTAGTTGAGCGTTCTAGGCTAAAGCCCAGTGTTTGGTTTTTAGTAGCAATCTCATGGGGTTTTCAGTTCTTCTGTTTATGATATGATGGGTTTTTATTTTTCACATGTAGTTATTAAATGTCTTTGAAGTTTCTTATTTTGGTTAACTGATGTGTCTTGTGTTTAATGTTGATATGGAAAGTTTTATAGTTTTAGTATTTAGATTAATTTTCTTTAATTTCCTTGGTTTTTAAAACTTTTTATTCTTTTTTTGAATTGCTCAAGGATATGCTTCGTTGGGTTGACCTTTGCTCTTACATTCGTGCGATTGTATCCTTCGTTTTTCTGGGTTCTCCTTTAATTATGATATGGAAACTTCCTTATGGGTCAAGCGGAAAATTGATTAATTGCCGCCTTGGCTTCACTTGTTGTTGCTGCGGTTTTCGCCAAGATTTTCATGTTTTGCCGTAATTAGCGTTTGGCCAGACCCAGTGTTATTTATAGGGCTAGCCCCCGCACACTTGCACACTTGCACACACACACACTCGCACTCACTCACTCACACTCGTTTGGATGATAATCGTTTTTATTTTTCGGCCAACGAAATTCGTATTTTCCCTTGCTTTCTTCTTTTTTCTATTATTATATTTTCTACGCAATTTTCTTCAGCTTTTCGGGATATTTCCTCTTTCACGTGCTGCTCTTTATATACATAATATATATAGAATTTTTTTTTTGGATGGTTGGTTTGTTTTGTTGCCTCGGTTAGCACATTTTGCCACGCAAAGCTTTAATTCGCATCGCGTTTTTTCGTCGTTTTCGGTTTCGTTTTCGTTTGCGTTACGAGCGAACCTCGGTCCACGCGAATGGGGATGAATTCAGATTTTAGATTTTCCGAGCGAGGGGAGCGTGATGAGTTGTGATCTAGGCACTAATGCCAATAGCCAATGCACACTTTCGATTGTTTTCACTGCACAAAATAACGGTGGATCCTTGCTGGCGGAAGGCTCACACACGCGCGCACACTCCTTTACACACACAACGACAGCGGGAACGACGCAACCGCTCGGCAGCGTTTATTGACTTGAACTGAGCTTCTTGGTTTCCAATCAGAGTCTCTGCAGTCGCTTTTCCGTTCGGCTTGAGCCGAGGTCGCTTCGTGTGCTCTCGGCTTCTCGAGAGAGAGCTGAGAAATTAGAAAGAGAGCCGAGAAAGCGGACATCTCTCTCGCGTGTTGCTGTAACCGGTTCGCAACACTCGCGAATGCAACATGTGGGCAACACCGCCAACCGGTTAAAAGGATTATATTACACACGCCTCCGTTGTAAAGATTTTGGATTGACTTCGCGACGCGTAAATAAGGATTTATGCGGTATAAATAAGCCCGCCGGTTGGTGGGTTAAATTCGCGACCCGATCGCATGACATCATTAAAACGAATTTAATTGGGTCGATGTCTATTGCCTTTTCGTCCTCTGTTTTGATTTACAATACTGGCTAATGGCAAGCTGTGACTTCGAGGAATTCCTGAGATTTTAATACAGTTACTTGATGAAATGTTTGTGGAAGTCTAATCAAAAATTCAAGATTGTATCATTTTGATGTGACTCTATTGTGGCTTTAATCCGTAACTTTTTAATGCAATTCTTCGCCCAAAAAATTGTTTTTCTGTCTGTTGTTGTCTGGCTAAAAAGTTTTATTAGAAATTCTAAAAGTTGTTTTGTGTGATTTTGCAAACTTAGCAAACAACTTTTCAAGCATAACAAACTATTTTTTTAGGCCAAGATTAAGTTGAATTTCTATTTGAAAATCATTTATTTATATGTGTTATTGATTATTAAATAAATATTTGTTTTTTCGTTTCGATCTAATACAGATTTAGTTAAATAATATATTTAAGGCACAAATCGTGACTGTCTACATAGCACAACAACTTATTTAAATACTTATTTCATTTTATTTATTTCCAACCGCTTAGTTTTTTTTTTTATGCGTTTCTAAATTAAATTAATTGTTTTGGATTTCTACACTTTCCTGCTAAAGATGTAGAATTTTTACTGGTATCACTTCATTTTGTAAACTTTCTTAACTTTTTCATTAGTGAACACCTTTTGTTAATGTTGTACAAATTAGAGAATTCTGTTTACAGCGCTCGAGTGTACTTTGTGTGTTTTCACGTCGTTCCTCATTCTGTATTCCCATTCATCAGAGCCCCCACTTTCCCCTCTCTCCCTTTCCCCCTCTCTTCCCCCCTCTTTACCCCCCCCTCTGCCTTCAGTCAATCAGCGATCAAGCTAGTCAGCCATGAAACACCAACAGAAACAGACCCAAAAAAAGCGAATAAAACTAACAGCAGAAATCCATACACCAAAAAAAAACTTCGAATGGTGTTTTTTATATTTTGTTGTTTATTAAAATTTATTTATTTAGCAATACCTTAATTAAATAATTGTTAATAGTTTTAGGTTACATAGATACTTTAATTCTTATAAAAATATATTTAAACTCTTCTAGTATAAATAATGATATTTACTCATATAATATATATTTCTTATTTATTCAAATGCATATTTAATAGATGTTTTTTTAAAGTTATTTTTTTAATATTTTTAAGATCAGATTTTTTAGGTTTTTTTTTTATTAATCTCAGTTCTCATTATAAGCATGAGTATAACTATATTTTTTTATTTTAACCTTTTGTTATTTATATTTTAGATGGTTTTTCAATTTAAACGTCTTGCTTTTGTTACCCTCGTAACCATGAATATATTTTTTTCCATTTTAAAGTAAATTTCAAACTGGCTGTTAACTTTTGTAAATCGTCTAGGTAATTCTTCTCTCTGTTCAGCAACAAAAAAACTGCTTAGCTTGCAGCCGGCAAGTTGAAGCAAGTAGCTGGAAAAAGAGACTCCGCTTCGCTTGGCTCTGCTTTGAACGTCGAGTGCGGCGCAATTTCAGTCTTGACCGAATGAGTCACATCCGCCAGATACGAGATACTCAAACTCAAACTGGAGTCCGACTGAATGAATTGGCTGCATGGTGTGCAGAAATTTCACAATGTGATGATTTTATGCCCGACTCGTTCATTCAAGATCGGTTTGCATAGGCCGGTGGAAAAGCCTCTCAAGTCTTTCGATCTACTGGAGGGAAAACTATCTCTGGCCCGTTTAATGATGCCCAAGAACCAGAGGCCCAGACTGGGAATGGGAATGGGAATGGCAAGAGCTGAGAAGAGCTGCAAACTAATTAGCCCGAGGGGCCAGAAGTTGCGCTTCAAGTGGAGCCAGAAATTGCGTATAAGTTACTTCACCTGCGGACGACTCCGGGGCAGCTACATGATACCTCTCGTGTCTTTCGGCCAGACAGGAAACGCTCTCAGTGTTACCTGTTTTGAGACCCCTCCCCCTCCCCCTTCCATTTCCCCTGAAAACCCCAACCCACCTGGCCCTATTGCATATGAATGAAATTGCAACGGAGGAGATGGAGCATCGTAGCATCTAGCAGCTGCCTTCGTCCAGATTCAGATTGCCTGAGAAGTTTTCGCAGCAAACTTGTTTACAGCCAGGTAAAAAGAGAAGTTGGCTTTTTGTTTGTCCTCTTTCGGCTGAGCAAAAACAACAACGAAAACAAAAAACACGCGATTGCATATGCTTGTTACACTCCAAGATACATTTTCTGCCGAGATACATTTCCATTTTCCCACCCACTCAGTCACAGATAGAGGCGAACGGAAAACAACTGAAAACTCAACATCGTAGACATTGATTAAGGTCAGTTATGATTGTGTATTGTTTGCTGCTATTTTTTTCTCTGCCTCGTTCGCTTGTCTAAGCTTCAAAAAGTGAAATCTCCTCTTGCGTGTTTGTTTCTTTTTTTTTTTTCGTCTTTGTATTTTTTTTTCGAATTTTTCGGTGAATTGCTGGGCAGTCATGCATGAGTATCTCTGAGTTGACTTCAGGTACCGAGAACTAAGCAGATTGCGTCGAAAGTGTGAACTTTATTCGCTTGAATTATTAGGTGGAAAAATCTTCGCATGTTTTGACATTTTATGGATGTCAAGCATTTCGGCAAACTGACTCGAAAGAGTAATAATTTAGGATTTAGCTGCTTAGAGTTTGTTATAAATAGTTTTTCAAAGTTGCTGTGAAAAACTACTTGGTGATTGTAAAAAGCTTAAATGCGAAAATGTTAACATGTAATTGTAGAGAAACAAAATATTAACTTAATATTAAATATTATGAATGCCTTGTTAACAAGTATAAATACATATATTCTTTATTATGAATAGTCTTTATATATATTATAAATAACATTCTGTTGTGTCTTATTTTAAATTTACAGATTCTAACTATTTATAAAATAACTGTTATATGTTGATGAAAAAAATATGTTAAGTTCTATTTCTTGCCTTCAAACATTAAGGAAAACATTTTTTAATGTAAAATTAATACATGTAATTTCTAGTACAACAATATCACTTACCATTATTATAAAGTACTCAATATAAAAGTACGATTAAAATAAATTGTTAGCTGTTAATTTAAATGTATAACAAATTAATAAAGCTCTTAATGGAATTATAAAATATAAAGCAAACTCATTAAAATAATTGAGGTTTCGTCGTGTCTAGATATTGCACTTCCTTTTTCTTAGCCCCCACCACTTCCTCTTGGTTTTGGCCACGCTCGACCGTCTTTGATGATCTTTTTCGCTTTGGCTAGCGAAAGTAGAACTCGGCCACTATGCAAATATCTTCTGGCAGCGGCGGAAGTTGCCAAGAAAAACGCTGATCGGTGGCGAATGATCAACAGTTTTCGAATCATTTTTTTTTGTGCACCTTTAACAATTTTTGCTGCACTTCACTGTTGGCTGACTCCCCCGACTTCTGGTGGTTATAAATTTTGTTGACTTTCACGTTTCACGTTTCGCATTTGGCGTATGAGCGTTTTCAGCCATTGCCTTCGGTACGCAACAATTAGCCGCAGTTAATTGGCCAAAAATGCTGGCTGCTGTTGGCTGGCTGCTAGTTGGTAGTTGGTGGTTGGTGGTTGGTGGTTGCTATTTGCGTTACGCTTTCTGCACTTGTCTGACGAGAAAACTTACCGCTAATCTTTGAGGCGAACAACTTCCGCCTTGTCGGTGGAAAACTGTAAAATTTACAGTGTAAAGAGCGCAATTAAAAATCACAGCAGCCGCTGAAGAAGATGACTTTGAGTTGTCAGCCGCTGCCGTTGGAATTCCGCAAACAAGCCTTTGCGTTCATAATTTGAAAAATCACCTGGCAGTGGGACTTCATGTGGGTGGTGTGGGTGTGTTTTTAACCTGCTTCCAGCGACCTTTGTGCCCGTAATGCTGCGCCTAATTGCCCTTAATTTATTTAACTTCAAGCTGTGCTGAGAGTTTCCCCTTCTGCCCCTCTGATTTCGACGGAGTCAAGGGTTCGCTGCGTGTCCTTTTGGGTCACTTGGGACGTGGCCGCAGACCCGTCTCCTGCGATTCGAGCAAGTGTCCTTCGAATACTTGTCCGTTGTCCGTTGTCCGCTGTCCATTCCCATCGGCATCATCGCCAGGCACTCGAAAGCAAACTCCGCCAAAGGTATTCGCAATTTGTCATGATCCCGGCAACGATTAATGCGAAAATCTCTTGAAAAAGTTATAAATTGTTAAATGCGAACATCATTAATAAGTTCGCTTTGGAAGGGTATCACTAATTGGATTTTTATGTTTAGTATTTTGTTGGATCACCGTTTGCTAATATGCTCTAGGGTTGGGGTAATTAGAACATGATTTAGAGCAGGCTTTGCTATTTTTAAAAGTTTTTTAAATCCTAACTAACTGTTAAATGCTATTAAACTACAACCATTTTTATTTGCTTAATAATATAATGTTGTTAGCGAATTTGCGTTCTAGTATGTGTATAAAAAACATTTGATTTTATTTCAACGAAAATCATTTTAATATCTGTGGAATCTTTAAAGTAAACAAGTATAAAAATTTATATAAAGCCCTTTGTTTTATTTTCCTTTTGTAATCAAATATATTTTTTCCTTACCTTTTTTATTTTTACTTGG